TTTGTTTGTGCACAATACAACTTACGGTGTTGAAAGTTTGGTCAACATGCGTCCAGAAAAAAGTTGCTTCCATTAGCCCAATAAAGTCATTGAGCAGTGCCAAACTGAAAATAACTAAACCTAGCAGCCACTTGGTGGAATGGTGTTTAAACTGGTCATCCTCAATGCTGTAGTGTTTCCGATTGACAGTCAGAGAAAGGACCAAACCGATTCCAGTGAAAACGGCACTGAGAAAGGTACCAATTGAAATAGGAATCAAATATGCCGTGAAGTCATAATGGTCAGTTAATTGAGCAATCGAAACATCCGCAGAGGTTTCATTGCTGGAATCGTTTTGTAAAGCGCTCATTTTTTGAAAATTGAAAATCTAAACAAATTATGCTGATTAGGATTCTTGAGATGCGTCCTTTTTATATTCGATTCTTATCGAATTAGGACAAAGTTGACAAGTTTGCTGTAAAGTTGTCTCATTGTTTGTTTTATAGCACAAAACAAGTGTTGTGCTGATTAGACAACACTTTCTCATCTTATTTGTTGTTTATCTCTTTTTAGTGCAATGATTACTGATAGAAAGAATTAGATCATGTTTACACTGCAATAAACGCCTTAATAAGGAACAAACTACAAATAAAACACTCGCACTGCTTTATGATATTGTTTTTCTAAATGAAATTCCATATAAATTGCTTCTGTATGTTTTGCTGTAGTCAATTACTATAGAGAATACTAAAGTAACTTTTGTTATCTTTTTGCTAATTTTTTAAAGTTTGTAAGAAAAATGCGTCCGATTTTTAAGTTTTGAACTCATAGTTAAGATATGATCAGTTAGGAGTAATTTAATAATTAAAACTTAAATCAATAATAGGATTCAATTTTGGGAATTGCAAAAGTGAGCAATTAGAATTGATTTCCAAAAACGTTTTCTTGGTTAGCAGCTAAACCCCGTTTAGAGCTATACTTTTATATGCGTTTTTTTAGCATTTTCTTCTTGTTTCGATGTGAAGATGCCAACTTGGAGGGCAATTTCGAGCCTCCCTGACTAGCGCTGCTGCTGCTGCCTTTTTTCATTGAACTGGACGGGCGACCAGTGGAGGTGATTGTCGGATTGCCTTTCGCTTGTGCACATTTGCGTTCTGCCAACTCCTGTTTAGTGTACTTCTCCTCTTTGATGTCCATGCAGCACATCGGACAGAGGCAGTCAATTAGACAGCAGACGATGCAGTACGTATAAGAGCCCAGGTACACGGCGAGCAGTAGTGTCACGCTGGCGTGGTTCAGAGAAGCTTTCAAGGAGGAGAAAAAGGAAGAATTTAGTGATTACTAAAGGAATTTAAGGTACAAACACACTTACTGCCTTGCTCTGTGTCAGAACGATGGTGATGGGTATCATTGGAATCGGTGGTGCTAACAGTGCTCACAGGGCTCTTGGTTGGACTTGCCAACGCGACGGCTACCAGGCACAAAATGATACCAAGAACAGTTCGATTCATTTTAACTAGTACAAAATAGAAGCTCGTTTGCAGTTTATTCAAGTTTATATAAAAGTGGAATATTCTAAAAGCGATAATTTTTAATTGTTTAAAAATTTTTTAAATTTTAACAATTAGCGCCACCTTCCGCGCCTTTTATGAATCGTTCATCATCTGTTTACATTTTGCTTGCATCACGTTTTTGCCGTTTTTGGAGGTTTTATTTTGTTACCCACTTTTTTGTTGAAATGTTGATCAAGTAAGCCTGATAACTTCAGCTGATTAATCTTCCAAAGTACCATGCTGCTGCATTGTTTGCGTGGAAATGTGATTCGGCTTCACGGAGTTCACAGTGTCCTTGCCATCAGTCGCCGAACTTTCACCTTGGGACCGCGAATTTTGAATCAGCGGTTATTCACTAAAGAACTTAACCGGGAAACTTCGGCGTGGATTGAGCTCTTTGCAAGAAGTGGCTTCAAAACACCCCTTTCAATTAGAACGATACACAGCTCGGCTTGGCGTAGTCGTAAGTGGTTATTTGTTGTTTTTTTTGTTCACCTTTCATATTTTCCCATTATCTTATAGAACAGTCCGGTGATCAAAATCGAGGGTCAAGCTCTGGTCAGAATAACAATGATCCGAACAAGAACAAAGACGACGATAAGAAGCTAATTGGTTATGGCCTGGCGTGGATTATCCTAGGCTACTCCATCATAACACTCATCTCGATGCTGTTTCCGCCGGCAAACAAGCCCGACATCTTGAGATACGTCTCCTGGAATGAGTTTTATCACCAAATGCNCTGGCGTGGATTATCCTAGGCTACTCCATCATAACACTCATCTCGATGCTTTTTCCGCCGGCAAACAAGCCCGACATCTTGAGATACGTCTCCTGGAATGAGTTTTATCACCAAATGCTTGCAAAGGGAGAAGTCGAATTGGTGGTAGTGAAACCAGATTTAGATCTGNTCCATCATAACACTCATCTCGATGCTGTTTCCGCCGGCAAACAAGCCCGACATCTTGAGATACGTCTCCTGGAATGAGTTTTATCACCAAATGCTTGCAAAAGGAGAAGTCGAATTGGTAGTAGTGAAACCAGATTTAGATCTGGTCACAATCTACCTCTATGAAGGTGCTGTGATCCGCGGAAAAAAGGCGCCTTACCGGTCGTACCACATGAACATCGTCAATGTGCCTACGTTTGNCTTGCAAAAGGAGAAGTCGAATTGGTAGTAGTGAAACCAGATTTAGATCTGGTCACAATCTACCTCTATGAAGGTGCTGTGATCCGCGGAAAAAAGGCGCCTTACCGGTCGTACCACATGAACATCGTCAATGTGCCTACGTTTGAAGCTCGACTTCGAGATGCTGAAGCTCGTCTCGGCATTCGACCTGATCAGAGTGTTCAGATCATTTACGAGCGTAACCAGGAGAACATTTGGTTCGGCCTTATGATGATCCTCGCGGCAGCGGCAGTGATTTCCTTTCTCCTTCGATCGGGCTCTGCTTCTAAAAGTTCATTAAACACGAGCATGTTTGTAAGTAATTTAATTTTTGTTTTTTGAGAATGTTTTTACAAAAGCCTATTTTTCAGTCAAATTTGCGTCGTGCCAAGTTTACCGTCATTGACCCTCATACTAGTGAGGGCCGAGGTGTCCGTTTCAAGGACGTCGCCGGATTAAAAGAAGCAAAAGTCGAGATTATGGAGTTTGTTGATTACCTTCAGGCACCGGAGAGATTCAAGGTAAAGTATTTGCTTTTCTTTTTTATCTTTCTAAACCTTTAACTTGTTCTAGGAACTCGGTGCCAAAGTGCCAAAAGGTGTCTTACTTCTTGGTAAGTTGAGTAGATTTTTTATCTTTTTGGCTTTTTATCAATTCCTTCTTTTTTGTGTTTAGGACCCCCTGGATGTGGAAAGACAATGCTGGCAAAGGCGGTCGCAACGGAAGCATCGGTGCCTTTTCTTGCAATGAATGGCTCAGAGTTCATTGAAATGATTGGCGGTCTCGGGGCTGCTCGTGTGAGAGACCTCTTTGCTGAAGCCAGAAAAAGAGCCCCCTGTATTGTCTACATTGATGAGATTGACGCAATTGGCAGAAAGAGAAGCGGTCAAGGATTCTCTGGATCATCAGGCGAAGAGGAGCAAACTCTGAATCAGCTTCTCGGTGAGTGGAGTGGATTTAAAAGTTTTTTACTTTGTTAATCTAAATTTTTTAATAGTTGAAATGGACGGCATGTCGCAACGAGATAACATCAGCATTTTAGCCAGCACCAATCGCGCCGACATTCTCGATCGAGCTCTCCTGCGTCCCGGCCGCTTCGACCGACACATTCTCATCGACTTTCCGACGCTTGAGGAGAGGAAGGAGATCTTCATTCAGCATCTAAGTCCCATCAAACTGGTGCACCCGCCGGAGCACTACGCCGGTCGACTGGCACAACTGACGCCAGGCTTCAGCGGGGCAGATATTGCCAATGTGGCCAATGAGGCGGCGCTGCACGCGGCGAGGATCGGCAAGTCCGTCGTTGACTCTGAGAACCTGGAGGTGGCCGTGGAGCGGGTGGTCGGCGGTCCGGAGAAGCGGTCCGGGGTGATGAGCGCCGCTGAGAAGAGGGTCATCTCGTACCACGAGTGCGGCCATGCGATCATCGGCTGGATGCTCCCGCACACTGACGCACTGCTCAAGGTGTCTATCGTCCCGCGGACGACCAACGTTCTCGGCTTTGCCCGCTATCTGCCCACCGACCGGAAGCTCTACTCAGAGGAGGAGCTCTTTCAGCGAATGTGCATGGCACTGGGTGGGCGGGTGGCCGAGGCGCTGACCTTCAATCACGTCAGCTCGGGGGCGCAAAATGACCTGGAGAAGGTGACCAAGCTGGCCTACTCGATCATTCAGGTGTACGGCATGGACCCGGTGGTGGGACAGCTCTCCTTTGACTACGAGGAGAACAAGTTTGCGAAGAAGCCGTTCAGCAAGAAGCTGGCCAATACGATTGACAATCAGGCGAGACTGCTGGTGGGAAAGGCGTACAAGGAGACGGAGGAGATTCTGAAGCAGCACAAGGACAAGCTGAAGCTAATGGCAGAGGCGCTGCTGCAGAAAGAGGTGCTCAACTACAAGGACATTGAGGCGCTCATTGGGCCAATGCCGCACGGGAAGAAGTCCCTCGTGGAGGTCTTTGATCTAAGCGGACTGATTGATGAGGGCGTTGAGAAGAGAGGAAGTGCAAAGAGGGACAACGAGGAGTCGAATGGGCCAAAGGAGCAGAGACGGGAAGGCGATGAGGATGGCGAAGACAAGACAAAAGGAGGCGGCCCGAATACGTGGACTTCTAAAATGTAAGAAGCGCTTAGAATGTTAGACAGTGGGTGAGTTCACCTTTTAGGTTTTGTACATAATAATAAATGATAAGTTAATTGAAAAAGGTAATCATGTAGGTAATTTGATGAGTTTTAATTTGATGACTTTGTTACATACAAGATAATCATCTAAATGTCATTTTGGTCCATCTGTACCGATGTGCCCTTCACTTTACAGTGTTTTGTTTATTTTCATATATTGCCTATTGCATTACAAGTACACTTCGCTCTCCCTCTTGTTTCGAATCTCAATAGGCCATCTTGCAGCAGGCAACTTATGCGTTTTTGTTGTCATTCGGTTTTGCTGGCATTGAATTTACCTTGCAGGCACGATCTTCGGCTTCGGCCTTCTTTCCTTCCTCCTTCAAGTGTGTGCACCGAGTGTGTAAGGGCCGCATCACCAGCGATTACATGCCTGTAAGGGCCGGTGTTCAAACGAGTGTTGTTATCGATTTAGGCAGTCTGAAATAGGGCCGATTAGGATCGATGCAGTGGAGAAGTTCACTGCCGCCGCCATCATCATCGTCATCATTCTCATTCTTCTTCTTGCCTTCCTAATTATTTCTAGATTTTGCTGTTTATAATATTATATTACCATCTATTAATTTGCCGCCGCAGGACATCACCGGCACTGGCACTGGCACTAGCTCTTCTTCTTCCTAAGTTGACAATTGAGGCCGTCTTTGTGTCTACAACTTTTTTGTTATCTCGTTAGTGAGATGCATGCAAAGGCATGCGGGCAACTAACCTTCCTGCCAATTCAGAGAAGTGAAAGTGGCATACACAAATTGACATTTATGTTTACTACTTTGCTGCTGCTGTTGTTGTTGTTGGAGCACTAAATTAATTACCAGTAAATCAAATAAATTGAAACACAATTTATCGGAGATGCTGCCGATTCAATTGAGGCATCGAAACTTTTTCAGGCTAAACTTTTCGGCAATAAAATAATTGAATTTTTCTTGTTTGAAAATCATCTAAAATGTGTGCGTGCGTNAAATTGAAACACAATTTATCGGAGATGCTGCCGATTCAATTGAGGCATCGAAACTTTTTCAGGCTAAACTTTTCGGCAATAAAATAATTGAATTTTTCTTGTTTGAAAATCATCTAAAATGTGCACAGTTTGTGCGCTTCATTAAAGAGCTCTCCGCTCAGTTGAATTAGTCGATCTCAGCGCTTTTTGGGCCCAGTTTGTGCTGCTATAAATCTAATTTTAATTAGCTGCTTATACGTTTTTCTTCACTTTTTTCACAAAAAGCGAGAAGCACCGACTTTCGCTTTCGTTAATTTGCACTTAGCAAAATTTAAAAACGTTTTTTTTTTGTTCCAAGTCTACACTTTTACACTTTGTAATGCGATTTAATTAATTGGCTANTTCCGTCGACAGTAATTGCAAGTTCCTATTGATGCACAATTAAAAATCCGCAAAGTCCTAGAAGTGCACGCAAAAAAAGGCTCGCTGTAGTCCTGGCTTGCCAGACTTACCCCCCTGTTTCTTCACTTTTTTCACAAAAAGCGAGAAGCACCGACTTTCGCTTTCGTTAATTTGCACTTAGCAAAATTTAAAAACGTTTTTCTTTGTTCCAAGTCTACACTTTTGCACTTTGTAATGCGATTTAATTAATTGGCTAAGTTACTAGGCAGAAAATGAGAGAGAGAGAGAAAGAGAGAGAGAGAGCATCACTGCTTTGACTGAGGGTACTGATAATTAGTGAGAATTGAGCCGATTTTGCCCTTCTCCTTTTAGTGTTTGGCACAAGCTCACTGGCAAAGAAAGAAAGCGGCAATTCACCATTCAGCTCATTATCACCTTTCATTTCATCTCATTATAAGGAGATTTATAAACTCTGTTCATTTCAGTAACTGAAAAAAGGAAAAGAAAAAGAAAAAACATTACACAATAACATCATTCATTTGTTAATTTGAAAAATATTGATTAGTTATTTGATCAATCACTCAATAATAGTACTTA